ATGTGGGACCCGACCCCCCGGGCGGGAGCGCCGCCGCGCTTCCCAAGCGGCGCACTATCCAGTGCGCCACCGGGCCGGCCCTAAAGCAGCTTTTTAAAAATATGGAAATATTATATTTTGTTGGATTATAACAGCTTTTCACTCATTTTTTAAAACTGCATTTAAGTTTTCCTTTTAAGGATGACTAGAAGTTTATTAAATGTTTAAAAGAGTTGTTCTAGCTGTGAAAGTGGTACATTTTGTGTTTTTTCTTAAAAACTACTTTATGGAGATATGATTGACATATAAAAGACTATACATATTTAGTATATACAACTTGGTGAGTTTGGAGATAAATATACACGCATGAAATCATCACCACAACCTATGCCATAAACATATTCATCACCTCCAAAAGTTTCCTCCCATGCTCTTTATTATTATTATTTTTTTTTCCTTGCGGGAGTGCCGCCGCGCTCCCAAGCGCCGCACTCTACCAAGTGCGCCACCGGGCCGGCCCTATTTTTTTTGTGATAGGAACATTTAACATAAAGAGCTCACTATAAAACCAAAAACTACATATTCAGAGGAAGTTAGCAATAATTACAAATTCAACTTAAATTTGACAAAAACTGAGTTTCTTTTAAAGCTTTAACAATACACAGATATTTGGGCCTCAACCCTGAAGATTCTGATTCAATAGGTTTGGGGTGGGACCAAAGTATCTATACTTTTTTAAAAAGCTTGATGGATGATTGCTGCATACCCCTGTACATAAAGCAATTTTTAAAAAAGAATTATTAGTAAAATTAGTATTCCATTGTATTTATAAAGTAAAAAAAGTCTTTTAAACTTTATTTTCATCCTAAACATTACTTTTAGATAACTTCTCATTTTACAAAAACATAGCTATTCCAAATAATCTCAAATGCATTCAAGAATTTAAAACAATATACTTGAGCTTTTAAAAGCTTACCTGAGAACCAGAAACACCAGAAGACTGCATATAATACTGCTGATTCTGTAATTTTGCATACATGGAATACATCGGATCGTCATTCATTAACTTGGTATACAATGAAAGCGCCTCCATCACTTTAACATTAAGTTCTGAGAGTTCTGAATGTTTTCTGAAACGTTACACAATAATTTGAAACAGCTGTTGATTAAATAATGCCATATCAAAATATCAGAAATAGCAAGTAGTAGTTCTGTTAACAGTATTAAAAATTTAACCTTACACAAAAATATCCTATATTTTAGCCCTAAGGCAACCAAAACTGGTTAAGGTTGAGTACTGTGCGAGGAGAACTCCAATTTATTGAACTTGACTGACTATACCTCAAAATATCTAGGTTTTCCTAGTTATTAACAGATGGGGTTATTTGTGGGCTCTGGTAATGCCACTGTAGCAAAGATGATTACATTAGTTAACCCTCATTTCTAAAAAGACTAAAATAGTGAAGGTCAATTAAATCCCCACTTTTTAAAAAAAGGACAGATGAACCTTAATTCTCCACAACAAGTAGAAACCAAATTGGTTCCTCTGAAATGTCTTTTTTTTTTTTTCTAAAGGCAGAGTTAGGCTATTCTGCAGTTTATAAAGACAGCTTCAGGCAAGAAGGCGTACAATATAGACATATAACCTATGTTCTCTTACCTATCAATATCTTCCAGCTTTTCATCAATGAGAGGTCCCATCTGGTGACACATTGCTAAAATGAGAAGATTTGAAGAAATATAAGAAAACACCACAGAAGAAAGTGAATCTTTGATATTCATATAATTTAGAATAAAACAATAAAAGATTTATAAAGGAATAAAAGATTTAATTTGGAGTAATAAAAATTATACTGATTAACCTTTAGTCCACAGAACGCAAAATTTATTTTCTTAAAATACAATGGTGACAACATAATCTAAAATATTGATCTCAAAATTTAAAAATACTATTTTACATTTTACAAGATTCTAAAACGTTGAATAAAATACTTAATTTGGATAGAAAAGTATAAGAATTCAAATTCTACTCAAAGTTTAAACTACATATAAAAGTGAGACTGGGCCAAGGTAGGGTGAGAAATGTTACATTTTTAATATCATTTTCAAAAACCATTCTGTAACAGAACACTAGATATAACCCCTAACTATTCTTTAATTGCAAGGTAAACAGAAGCAAGGCTTACCTTCTAGATGAAGGAGCTCTGGCAGGTCTGGCTGGTCATCACTGGGATCTGTACTTTGTAACATCTGTAGCAACTCGTCCATTTTATCCTACAGGAATTAAATAGTGAACACAAAAAGCAACCAACCTTTACGCAACATTACATTCTCACTTTACTAACTAGCTAATAGATATAAAACTTTCGTAATTCATAGTTATGGAGATTCCAGTTTTGCTTTGGTATTTTTAGTATATTCCATATATTCTCTTTAGTACTGTGTAAAGTCAGAGGCTTGAAAGCTCTTTCTGCCTGTTTTAGAAACTGCTAACAGAGATTCTCTTAAATGAGAACAAATAGAGCCACATTTAAACTTACAACATGCTGAGTCTTCAATCTCTTATGTCATGCTAGAGTATTTCACTTTGTTTTGAAACAGCTGTAGCTTAGCCACACAGACAGGTGTAACATCCTCTAAGATGGCAGTGCTTATGGCTAACGACTCAGTCGTTGCTACTCTCCCCTTCGGTGAATACAGCAGCTGTTTCAGTAAGGCAGAGCTCAGCTGTATTACAGCTGTTCTTCTAAGCAGGGCTGTAAGAATTTATTCTACATTTTCTTTCCACCAATGTTTCAGTGTGTCATAAAAGGAAAGAGGAAGACTTGTTTCTCTATTTTCCTATATGGGAAAGGCTGGAAGGTATCTCGAACCAATGACTCAGATCTATTTCAGAATGTTGTATTGCAGGGACAAATGAACTAATGAAACCACCATTACATAAATACATCTATACATTATATAAGTACATATGTATTTAATGTTTGTTTTTTAAAAATCAAAATAGATCTAATCTACCAAAAAAATACTACTGAAATAACTACAAATCTTTCTTCTGGCATGGTTTTTACATGGTTATGCTACTCATACATAGATGCACAGGGCAAATAATTGAAAGACTACTAATTCTAAGCAAAGCAATTATTCAAAACAAAAATAAAAACTGTTCTGTGTAGACGGAAAACAGTTTGAGAGATGAACTAATCATTGAAGAGTGAAAGTGACACAAGTGTATAAAAAACTCTTCCCAACTCAAAAGAATGCTGTATTTTGAAATGGATACTATTTTTCAATGTAAAACATTCACAATTTTCATTTTAAATAGTCTAAAAAATGAAGGCATATTTCAGAAAAGTTTACCTACTTCCCAAAAAAAAAAGGTAACATCAGAGTGAGAGTCAACTAATGTGGATAATTTTTGCTTTGTTTACACAATACTACACACTATTTAAAATTACTTACTGTCAAAGAAACAGGGTTTCTTTTTTTTTTTCCTTTTTGTCTTTTTTCGTGCCCGGCAACGGATCGCAACCCTCAGTGTCGCGCCCGTACCGGACCGGGACCGGCTACAGGATCGCAACCCTCGGTGTTGCTCCCGCACCTCGCTCAGCCAGTGAGCGGCCGGTCTGTATGTGGGATCCAAACCCTCGGCGGGAGCGCCACTGCACTCCCAAGCGGCACACTGTAGCAGTGCGCCACCGGGCTGGCCCGAACAGGGTTTCTAAATAGACCACTAGTCTAACTCTACATGCATTTTCTTATGTAATGCAATCAGCCAAACGTAGCTTTCCCTAAACCAGTTGGATTCCTTGGCTCTTGGCACAGTCTTCTAGAGTCTGTTTCTCTAAGAGCACTGTTCAAATTTTTGCTTCTCTCTCTCCTAATGCTAAAAACTTAAAAACCCCTTCATATATTTTAAGAATGACTTTTCATTTTCCATAAGTTTAAAATGTTACAAAGAATATGATTTCTAGGACATTAAATATTGACATTTTAAAATAAAAGTCACATTCCTTCAAATATATCCAAAGGTATTCAAATACCATAGCAATCTGCACCAACCACTACCATTTTAAAAACACAGTCTCTGTCAGGAATTTAAAATTGTTCATTTTTCTCCTTCATATTCTCATCATATGAACTCATCGTATTTCTACTCAATTTCCCCTACAAAATTTTATCCTAATGTAATACACTTGAAAGTCTTCTATTGATGACCATATCAAATATATTTGCAATAAAAAACATATAAATTGATGATGATGCTCTAGGTGTTCGATAAATTCACCTGTACAAGTAAATGATTACTATTAGAATATAATGCATCAAAACATAACTGTATTTCAAATTTTGAAAAATAAAATAAGCTGGGATTCAGCATCAGTTCTATTCCTACATTTTGTTTTTACATTTGAAAGTGATGAGAAACCTCGTTCATATAAATAAATAAGCTGTTACAGCAATATCACTGAATTCTTTTAATATCTTCAGAGTTTTAGGCCAGAAATCACTGTGGCCTGCAATTAAAAACTATTCTTAATATTCTACTAGCAATTCATTTTGGTCCTTCTCCTATTTTTTTTTTTTTCCTTTTTGTCTTTTTTCGTGACCGGCAACGGATCGCAACCCTCAGTGTCGCGCCCGTACCGGACCGGGACCGGCCACGGGATCGCAACGCCCCTCGCTCAGCCAGTGAGCGGCTGGACTGTATGCGGGATCCGAACCCTCGGCGGGAGCGCCACCGCGCTTCCCAAGCGGCGCACTATAGCAGTGCGCCACCGGGCCGGCCCTAATAGCAAAAAATATAAAACTCATTTGAGCCATGTTACCCAGTCATTAGAGTCATTACTTTCTTAACACCAACACCAATATTTGGAATTTTAATACTCTGGGACAATGTACATAGTAAGGTTCAGTATGGGCAAGGGGTAAGCCTTTCTTCTATAAAGAGGGAGAGGAAAGAAAAGAAATGACAAATGGTGGCAGGGAGTGTTCTCAGGCAGATCAATTTTAGGAAAGAGTCCTTATAGAAAATGAGGATCTGAAAAAATTCTCTTAAAATGATCAACACCAGGGGCTAGCAAACTGTTTCTGTAAGGGCCAGATACTAAATACTTTAGGCTTTGCAGGCCACATTGCTGTTGCCACTACTCCATTCTGTCACTGTAGTACAAAAGTAGCCACAGACAATATGTAAACAAATGTGGCTGTGTTCTAATAAAACTATATTTACAAAACAAACAATGGGCCAAATTTGGCCAGCAGATGATAGTTTGCCAATCCCTGATCTTTACAATGTGACACCTGGAAAGTCCTGTATGGTTTGCTAGTTCCATAATTTAATATTTTATTATTAAGTTAATCTCTTGTTTTAATATTGTTATTCAAAAAAGCAATATTAATAAGTTTGAGTAGAAAAAGACAACAAACATGCTTAAAGATGGAAAAAGGTAACAATTTTAATTTTCCATATATATAACAACAGCAGAGATTTCTATAAAGCTTAAGTAAATAGGAGGATGAACTTAGTTCAAGACAATCTGAAGTTTAAATCCCAATAATACGAGTTTAGGTACTACTATCTGGCTCAAAAACTACAGTTTAAGTTGCTACCAAACTGACAGTGTTTTATAATCACTGAAAATATTCACTGTTGTTTCAGCTGTGACAAAGACATATAAACATTTAAAATAAAATTAGCATAAGCTTTCCCCCAAATACCAGAATGTGCTCAATCCAAGGAGGAACCGTAATTCATTTCCAATAATACTCAATATATGAGAGTTCTTCAAAAAGTTCATGGGAGGATTCATATTATCTTTTAATTCATTTTTTCCATGAACTTTTTGAAGTACCCTAGTATTAGCACTGCTTTTAAGAAATAGTTTATGCAGAAGTAATTTAATAATAGTTTAACTTTCAGAAACGGTAATTTGTTTTGTTCATTCAACAGATGAAGTGTCCCTTCCTCGATAATGTGCAAACAACGTTACCATGCTTGTTGAGTATATAAAAAAACAAGTACTCTCACATAATATCAATAGGAGTGTAAAATCCCATTTTGTTGAACATTTGGCAGTATCTATTAACATGGAAAACACACACACGGAAAAGACACAGATCCTTCAACTCAGCAGTTCCACTCCCGGATGTCTACTCTAAATATATCCAAAGATAGATATTCAAAAAAATCTGATTACAAAACTGTTTGTAACTACAATAAAAACTGTAAACAACCTAAGTGTCCAACAATAGACTAATTAAGTAAATCATGATAAATCATTCTATGGACTGTTAAGCAGGAATTCAAAATAATGAGGTACTGACATAGTAAAATGGGAGTGGAAAAGTTTCAAGACCAATCTTTGCTTTGTCTATATTGTTTTAATTTTTATAATGAAAAAACACAAGATCACCCAAGTAATCAATTTTTTTTAAAGAAGACAAAAACATTTCAACTTCAATAGAAAGTACCAACTGCTATCAACTAAGAAAATCACTTACTTCATCAATAAAGGCTGGTTCCGGCTCTGGTTCTATTGTCTCTACCTGAACATCATCACTAAATTGTACTGTCTTCTTCTCTGTTTTAACTGCAAAATATGTAAAAGTTAACTTTTTTACTTATAAAGTAATTTATAATTCTATTTCAAAGCACTTTAAACTCCAACAGAGAATTTAGATTTTTCTTATATTCCCATCAAGCTAACAGACTCAATTTAAGGAATAACTGGGTTGCAGATTTAGGCAATAATGAGAAAATGTTATTTATAAAATTCTGTCAAGATTCCTTTATTTTCTCTTGTAAAGATTTTACGTTTTCCATAAAAGAGACTTCACTAAAAAAGGGGGGTTATATTTCTGAAACAAAGATTAATCACCTACCACATATGAGAGTTTAATAAATTGGTGGACAAAAAACAAAGTTTTATGACAGCATAAGTAAATCCTGAAATTTAAAATAAATCCTCTTTTAAAATAACCAATCTTTTCAAAGAAAACTCTTGTTTGAAAAACCACACTAATTCAATGTAATAAATTGGTAAATAAGCTACATGTTCTCTGGCATGCCACTTGGACTTTTCACTAAGAGAACGACATACAGGCCAATGGCGAACTTTGCAAATGGCCTTGGCAAGGATCTGAATTTTCCAACAAATCAACCCGTATTTTCTAGTTATATTATACTTTGAGCTGAAAAGGTGCTCAGTAAGGGATCAGCAAACCATTGGCCAGAAGCTCATATTTCTCTTGCTCACTAAAGAAACCTTTAAAAACTATTTAACATAAAAAGTAAATATAGGGTTATTACTAATATAGCAACCTCCAAATAATACTGAGAGGCACATACAGCTCTAAAGAAATGAACATTTCTGTACTTTTCATCTTTGTATCAATGTGGTCAATTAGAACTCATAAATATATTAAGAATTAAAATGGAAAGGGAAATGGGAGAGGGACAGAATTAAGGAAGAGAAATAAAATTTATTAAACTACTGAATGTGCTATACACTCAATACATTGTTTTGGAGATTCACTGGGGGAATCCTGAGATTCAGTCCTAAGATATGCCCATTTTATAAATAGAGTGGTTTAGAAAGACTAAGAACTCTTGCACAGAAGAAAGATAATAAATGGCAAATGCTGGATTTGTATGCCAACCTATCTTGCTCTACTCTCCTATACTACTGGAATCTGGCCTGTCATTTTACTATGATAACAAGAACTCATATCACTGAAGTATTCTGTGCTGTGTGCTTCCATATAAAATAGAAATAGTTTAATTTCCAACATAAGTAATATATTCATTCCATTCAAGTCACCGTAAAGCAAAATTCTACATACAAAAAAAGTTTCAGCTGATTCATTCTCCCATGGGCAAAAAGAGACATCTGCTATAGACATTTTTGCTTTTTGTATCTTGAGCTATTAACGAATAGAAAGCTGGGATAGCACTGCATTGGCTGTTACCCATAAGAGAACACATGGCAGACTTCATATTCTTTTTTTTTTTTTTCCTTTTTGTCTTTTTTACTGACCGGTAACGGGATCTCAACCCTCGGTGTCGTGCCCGTACCAGGGACCGGTAACGGGATCGCAACCCTCGGTGTCGCGCCCGCACCGCGCTCAGCCAGTGAGCGGGAACCGGTCTCCACATGGGATCCGAACCCTCGGCGGGAGTGCCGCCGCACTCCCAACGGCGCACTCTCCAGTGCGCCACCAGGCCGGCCCCAGACTTCATATTCTAAGAGCTGACAATCCACAAATTTCCCGCCCTTTTCGTGATAGGAACTAATACTATTACTGTGTGTGTGTGTATGTAAAAATATTATTTATATATTTATATGAAAAAAGATAAAATGTTTTCACAATATCTTACTGTATCTCTAAAACAAAAACAAGCTAAGCAGGGCAGATATTTCTATTTGACAGGTTAAGTGAAGCAGGCTTCTATATCCTCAAAAAGAATGATGCTATGGGGATCATGTTAGCATTTGTTATCCAAGCTTGAGAACTATAACCCCATTACATAAGCTCTGAAGCTCCCATTTTTCTTTTAGATTGTCCAGAATGAAACATATGAGAGGAAGAATTCAAAACTCTTATTGAAGCTGAATTGCTATATAATGTAAAAAAGATGGAATGGCTAAAGGATCTACATTAGCGCTTGGATCTTGTCTTGAACAGAAGTCTCTTACAATTCTATCCTTTCTAACAGCTGATTCAAGACGGGAAAAAAAAAAAAAAAAAAAAAAAAAAAAAGCCCCAAGTCTCAAAAAACAAAACGACGACGACAACAACACACACACCACCACCAGCCCAGGTTATGAAAATGGCGGCACACTAGGCAATGCCATTTAAACAAGGTTCTACATGTTTTTGAGTTCTAACAAAAAAGAACTTCATTAAAAGAGTGGGTATCAGGAATCTGTCTCTATAAAAGTGACACAAGACAACCTGGCAGTAACTATGAGAGGGTACTGTTTTATCAAAGATCTGTAATTTCTGGTTTGTTGTTCAAGCTTTCTCTTGAAAGAGAAGTGAAGTATCTCTTTACTGTTAATGTATATATTTATGTATCATTTATTCTACAAATATTTACATAGCATGTATTATGGCTAAGATTCAGTACTAGGTGCTCTTGGAAATAAAAAGATAAACTAAGAGATCCTTTCTTAGAATTCTCATAAACTAAAAAAGACCTAAGCACCTCGTGGTTTACAACTTCCTTGGTTTACAACTTTCTTCAATCCCTCCTATCTGGCATTATAGAGAGATGAGATACTTTGCCAGATAACTGTAGCTTCTCAACTTATACTCAGAAACTCTTTAAAAATGCAAAACATTTCAATTGCTAATAGAAATCTTTCTAGGCTTGAACTTATTTTTCTGTTTGCTGAAACAGAGGGAGATTACGACAAACTTTTCTTGATGACTCAAACTCATCATTGTAAAGATTCATTAAAGCACAATATTCACAGAAATATATGGAACTGTCTCCTAGTACTTTGACAGATTACTGGCAGTTACATCTCCTGCAGTCTGCCACTAATATTTTTCCTTCATGGCCCCACTTTCTAGTTTATTTCTCCTAGTCAGCAAAGATTTGGAAATCAAATGAAAAATTATTTATATGATTAGTTAAATTATCAGTTAATATGGTGCATTCTGAATATCTAACATGCAGGCTTAGGAAAGCCACTATGTTGCTTAGACGTCACTGTTTCGAAGTCTGGGGCTAGAGACTAGAGAAATGGTCCCAACCATTGAATAGGAAGAATTCTCTGAGGTTATAGTACATTTCTACTACCTGATAAAAAAAGAATATGCAATGTATAACTTACATAACTCTTCTTAATGGATCTGCATTTTTACAATGACAACTATATAGATAGATGTATATGATAAAGTCCATATTCTGTCTGTCTATCTTGGTAGACAGATGATTTGAATACTTAGATTATTTCTGGTAAATAATCACCTACCTAGGGAACTACACTTTTTATAAACACCTTGGAGGCACTAATATTTGAATGACACTGAGTAAACTCAACTTTCTAGATCATCATCCATTGACAGATTGGAAAATACTTACTAATTTCTGGTTCAGCAGTGAGATCTGCAGTCACAAAATTAGAAGGAAATAACCCTATGCCTTGATGGGTTTCTCCTTTCCACCAGTTGGGATCACTATAATAAACAAAAAAGAACACTTTACTATAATAAAGATTTTATTTCTATAAATTTTTACCTTTTATATTTCTTAACTTACAGTATTACCAGATTTGGATCTCACAACAATCCAGTAAAGGAGCCAATGAATGTATCATTATTACAAACAAGAAATGAGGCCTCAGAGAAGGTAAGAAGCTATTAAACAAATAATTTGTTATCTTTTTGAAGGTTAGTGAATACTTAGAGAACCTAACAAAAAGCTGAGATCTTTCTCCCAAAAAAGGGGCCCCACATACTTAAAAACTGTCAATTTCAGGTGGTTCACAGGCTCTAGTGTAAGAACCCTTTGAAATAAGATGTAAAGGTAGGCTGTTAATCTAAGTCTCCATTCCTAGATTATTGCTCTTCCTAGTACATATTAGCAAATTTTTTTCTCTGACCAGAACACATATGGAAGATTACACAAGGCTGCTCATAGCACAAAACATTCACAAAGAGCAGACTCCCTGGTGAAAACCCATGTTCACCGCTATATTCCCGGTGCCTACTATAGGGAAAGCAGGCAAGCACTCAATAAATATTTTTTGAAAGAATAAATGACCAAGATTTTGTGCAATTTCCAGCTAATCTGCTCAAACTTCATTTTATCCCACTCAAGAAAATATATTAAAATATAAGTGACATGGTCTGAATGTTTGTGTTCCCCCAAAATTGATACGTTGAAATCCTAACCCCCAAATCATACGTGATGGTATGGGAAGGTGGGACCTCTGGAAGGTTGATTACATCATGAGTGGGATTAGTGACCTTATAAAACAGACCCCATAGAGCTCATTCACCTCTTCTGCCATGTGAGGACACAGGGAAAAGATGGCAGTCTATGAACCAGGAAGAAGGCCCTCACCAGAAACCAAATCTGCTAGCACCTTGATCTTGAACTTCCCAGCCTCCTGAACTATGAGAAATAAATTTCTGTTGTTTATAAGCCACCCAGTCTATGGTAGTTTGTTATAACTGCCCAAATGAAGTAAGATGATAATAATACTGATACTATAGGAATAACCTTAAATCAATTTAAATTTATTTTTAAAAACCACTTGTAAATTTCATTACTTCATTATCAGTAACAATTAATTTTCTTTCTTTCTTTTTTTTTTTTTTTTTTTTTTTTTTTTTTTTTGTCTTTTGTCTTTTTTCCGTGTCCGGCAACGGATCACAACCCTCAGTGTTGCCCCCGTACCGGACCGGGGACCGGCAACGGGATTGCACCCCTCGGTGTTGCTCCCGCGCCTCGCTCAGCCAGTGAGCGGGAACCGGTCTGTATGTGGGATCCGAACCCTCGGACGGGAGCGCCGCTGCGCTTCCCAAGCGGCGCACTATCCAGTGCGCCACCGGGCCGGCCCCAGTAACAATTAATTTTCAAGTAATAAATCACAGTAAATGTAGCTGTAGTAAAAAAAAAAGAAAGAAAGAAAGAAAAAAAACTGATGCATTATATCACTTCCCCTAGGAAAATGTAAATGCACAATTCCATGTAAAATGAATTTTTTTCCTATGAATATGCTATTCTGTAAAAATAAATTCAATAGACTATGCATTTCTTATAAGTTCCATAAATACATATCCACATTCAAAGTATGTTCTAAAACCTTAATTTTTAAAAAATAATTTAACAATTTCTATTATTAGAGGGAACCAAAAATAAATAGATTAAACTAGGCCTCCAAAACAAATAATAAACTACTTAAATAATACATGAGAAAAAAAAATTACACTACAAAATGAGAATCCACACAGTATGACACAAGCAAATCAACCAACCATCATACAGAGAAAATATCTGGGTCAGTATTTTTTATTATATTTGATAACTGCATTTAACATAATGTGAAATACAAAAATAATAAGTTATACATACTCATATGAATGTTCAATTTAATATTAACCATTACCTGTCATCAAGAACTGTAATAATTTCTCCAGCTTTAAAAGTAAGTTCATTATCTTCAGCAGCTTCAAAGTCATAAATAGCACGAACTTTTCGGCCTTCATGTTGGTGGTTAGTTAAGAGGTTGGATGTGCTTGGATACAAAGTGGAAAGGGTGGTTGACTGCTGTCTTTGTTCCTTCAGGGACAACTCAATGGCTGGTAAATAATGAGTTTTAAAAGGCCCAAAATGTTAATATATCCAACAACCCAAAGAAATGCAAAAAAAATATCTCAAGGTAGAAAGTATTCTTTCAATAGTGTAGCTGGAAACTAGGACATATCCTGATTAATATACTGAACAAAAATAATTTTGTCAATTTCATTCATTCATTTACAACTAAAAGTTTAAAAATAAATAAATTAACAAAAAACTTGAACAGCATCACTCCTATTTTTACTGAATGGATAAAATTTTAATTATACTGGGTAATATAAAGATATAAACCTTTAGATTCATTTATTTTTATAGCTGCAGAAACCTTATATTTCTTTTCACCTTTTAAATGAATGTTCCCAAAATGATCATCAGAATCATGGGAAGTCAAAAGTACCAAGTCTCACTTGGTACCTGCCTCAAAGGTAGTATCTGAGAACCTGAATTTTATTGCTCCAAAGGTAACTCTTACATAATCAGTCCAAAGACTCACATACTAATCCCCCAAAATAGATCTCAAATGTGTCTCCTCTGTCTCCACCACTACTCCCCAATGCAGACCATCACCATGTGTCACTTGGGCTCTGCAATGTAATCCTAATGCACTGACTACCATGCTTTCAACTCAATGCATAACCCCTTCTATTCTTCCACCCCTGTTCTAGATTGATAAAAGAATTAATATGAAAACAAAACTTTAAAACTGTTAGAAGACAATATAGAAAACTATCTTTTAGGATCTTAAGGTAGGAAAAGTATCAAAACACAAGAAAAGTAAAAATCATAACAGAAAAGCAAAACATTTTGATTTCAGCAAAATTTAAAACTTCCATTTGATAAAATATACTATTTTAAAGTTAAAATAGAAACCAAAAAGCAGGAGTAGACATCTACGATAGATATAACAGGAAAAAGATTAATATCTAATATAAAGTGTTTCAAATAGCTAGAAAAGAGGAGCTTAAATGTCCTCATTACAAAATAACAATAAATTTTTGTGATAATACATTTGCTAACTACCCTGATTTGATCACTGTATACACGTATTGAAATATAACTCCACCCCAAATATATGTACAGTCAATACATTTCAATTAAATAAAAATAATAAAATAAAATAAAATAAAGACTTCTACATATCATAATTCAAAAAAATATAAAGACAATTCACCTAAGAGGAAATCAGAATAGTCAATAAACATATAAAAAAAGACTCAACATTACTAGTAATCAAGAAAATAAAAATTAATATAATTGGACATCATTTCGAACCTAACAGATTTGCAAAAATTAACTCTCAGGGCTGGCCCATGGCTCACTTGGGAGAGTGTGGTGCTGATAATTCCAAAGCCACAGGTTCGGATCCCTATATAGGGATGGCCGGTTAGCTCACTTGAGAGAGCGTGGTGCTGACAACACCAAGTCAGGGGTTAAGATCCCCTTACCGGTCATCTTTAAAAAAAAAAAAAAATTAAACTCTAACAATATCAAGTATTGTAAGGAGATTAAAAATAATAAATAATAATAATAATAATAATAATAATAATAGCTTTCCTACATTGCTGACAGAAGAGGAAATCAGACAACCATTTAGCAAAGTTGAAGATGTACTTATTCCATGATCCAACAACACCACTTTTAGTCACACATAATAGAGAAAGTCACATATATATGCACAAGAGAAAATGTAGAACTACAACATTATTTGTTATAGTGAAAAAATCAGAAACAATCCCACTGTCCACCAGTAGGAGGACAGAAAAGGTATACTTATGAGTACACTGGAATATTATATAAGTTAAAATAAATGAACTTGATTTATATGCCTCATAATAAATAGATCTCAAACACAACGTTATATGAAAAAAGCAAATTGCAGATGGTACTTAAAGTGTACTATTTATGAAAAAAAAAAAACTGTTGAACAAAAAATGTACTTCATACTGTTTATAAATATATAGTGTAGTAAAAATATTATAAAAACATAGACTGAAAGAATACATATAATAATAGTTGCCTCTGAGGAGGAGAGAAAAGAAATGACACTGAAGATGAGAGCAAAGTATATGTCAGCTTTGGCTGTAAAGCCCTATTTCTTTTATCTTTAAATATCTCAGGGAAAAAATATTCAATCAGAGACATATCTTCTTCCCAACATCAGGGACTTAAAAACTCACCTTTTGCTAAATCTTCTTCTTCCTTTTTGTTAGCCACAGTTCCAGGATCCTTGGCTACTAGAGCTGGGCTTGCTTTTGCTTGTTCCGCAGCCTAACACAAGAAAAGGAACACAATATTTGATGGTTGTTCTTGAATTCTCGTACCCTTACCTAATCTAGGAACTTGCAAGACCCTTCTCACCACAGATTTCTGAAGAAGAAAGAAACTCAACTGGAATAGCTTCCTCTTTGAAAGGAGAGGGAGAAGAGTCAGAATTGGGGGAAACAGACTGACAGCAACTGGACAGTTACAGTAGGCAGCCTAAGCACACCAGATTTGTGTAAAGAGGTTAAACTAAAAGCAGATAATATGCAAATCAGAGAAGAAAGACTAAAGGAGGTTTTTAAATTTTTAGGAAAATTCTAAAACCAGAAAAGGGGTTGGGAGAGAGAGGAGATGATTATGTTAAAAACAGATAGTTTAAAAAAAATTTTAATATCTATTCGATAGTTACATTTTATTGCTTCCTTCCATCAAAAGCCATGATGTTGTCTTTAGGAACTCAGATTTATGTATAAGAATATAAATGCTCATACAAGTCTATTTTGTAAACCAAAATACAAGTAGTTAATTTTAACAGTATATTACTGCCTATGTTAAACATATTTTACATAAGGCAGTGTACAAGTAAACAAATAAATATTTAAATTGATTCACAGTTTTGGAATCACAAGCTTCCAAGCCTTAAGGCTCTGTGTTCCTCTGACAACATTTTTAATCATGGTACTATGATATCGGTGGTTAAGAATACAAGTTGTAGAGTCAGGCAGACATGGGTTCAAATCCCAGATCCACCACTTTCTAGCTCTACAACACTGGGTACATTAACCTCTTTGTGCCTCAAGTTCCTTATCAATAAAATGAGGATAATAATAGCACATGCATCTCATGGGAACCTCACAGTCTATTTAAAGGATTAAATTAACACATGTAGTTTCCAAAATCTAAAGAGATAGGGCCCATTCTGGGCTTAAAACAAAAAGTATAATATTATCTCCAGGGGTTTGTAACGTATGTAGAGGTAATGCACATGACAACTATAGCATAAAGGATGCTGAGGTGGAAAGTAAATGGACCTGTACAGTTGCAAGGTTTCTATACTTCACATCAAACTTTACAAGATTAATTTCAAGTACATTGTGAAAAGTTACAAATATATACTGTAATCCTCACAGCAACCAATTAAAAAAATAGAATTCCAAAAAAATATTCAAATTATCACATACGCAGCACTTAGAACAGTGGCTGGCACATAGTGAGAGGCAATAAATGTCAGCTTCTATTATCTGATTACACACCTGTCTCTACAACCAAACTGTATGCTCCTTGAGGAAATGTGCCTAAACACTACAATCAATAAATGTTGAGTGTATGAAAGGCAAAATATTCAACATTACAGTAAAATACAATTCTATGTTCTTCACTTACTGTATTTCATATTGCCAAACAAATGCACATTTTTTTTTAGGAAAGCTGATAAGTAAAAAAGCTTTTTGGAATTCACCAAACACAACTTTAAGCACCCTCAACTCTGATCCATGTCTAGTTGTATCTTCTTTAGATAATGTTTTAATCATCATATACTTCTGAAAATTGAAAGTATGCTTGGTCAGAGACAACCTTCATAATTTATAGGAATTTCTTTTCACAATTTGATGAATTTCACAACATAGACATATTGATCTTTTCTGATCTGTGAAGAAATTTCTAGTCAAGAAAGAAATGCAGAAACATACTCAGCACTACATTCCTAAAGAACTGCACATTTTTCAAAGTTCTTTTCTATCATCAGGTTCTAAATGTAATAATACTTCTATTAACTAGTCAAATATGGTAGCAGTGCTAGCCTTCCTTATATCTCTACATCAAAAATTAGTGGTAACAGGGCTGACCCCATGGTTCACTCGGGAGAGTGCAGCGCTGGGAGCGCAGCGGTGCAGGGAGCGCTGAGACTGCAGGTTCGGATCTTATATAGGGATGGCCAGTGCGCTCACTGGCTGAGTGCGGTGCGGGCGACACCGAGCCAAGGGTTATGATCCCCTTAACGGTCACAAAAAAAAAATAAATAAATTAGTGGTAACAGAACTGCATCAGCATGAGTTAGGGGACTGAAGCGTGACTTCTCTTAATATTTTTACATTATTTTCTTCTGTACTTGCATAAAAAAATATACTTGGAAAAATCTTTATATTTTCAGGGGCTTTTTAAAAAGTATGCCTTAACAAAAATCTAGTCTGATAAAATGTAAGATGATGTAAGTTAACTAAGTAACTTTAAAATCTAGAAGGAATTCTACAGTTGAACCTAGATGACATATTTTTTCATTAAACACAAAGCTCTTTACACGTGATTTCCAATGATAAGCTTCTCAGAAACCACTAAAAAAAAATCATTATTCTATCTCAACATGTTTTACTTTATATACATTTTATATATTTCTTATAGCTGAAAGATAGCCAGCTACTGTCTAACAAAACCAGCTTTTGCATATTTTATAACATCTAGATCAAAAGCAGAAAAGTAAGTCTTAACCTTACTATTTGCTCTTCTATGTCCTGAATCTTTTGAACAAGAGAATCTAATTTCCCTACCGATCAAGAAATAATGTTCTCACCAGTGTTCATGCCTCTTCTTGTCCTCTGAAGCCTAGTCTGGGCGCACACATAGCCACTAACCTCTACACAAAATGGAAAGCAGGATCAGGTAGTGGAAAGAACACTGGACTGAGAGTAAGTATGCCTGTGTTCTAGTTCCAGGTCTGTCAACTACTAGCTGTGGCCCTGGGCAAGTCATTAACCATTCTGAATCTCAGTTTCCTCATCTGTAAAATGAGGAGATTAGATTAGAGGATCCCTAAAGTTGTTCCCACAGATACCTAAGATTCCAGATTAACCAAACAAGGCTACATATCAAACAGATCATTAATTTTTCTTCTTTCTCTTATAAGGGCAAGTCCCTTTATGGACTAGAATGCAGTTTTCACTTGCACTGAAAGCTGTACTCTACAGCAGTGCTTCTCAAACTTCAATGTGCATACAGAATCATTTCAGGATCTTGTTAAAATGGAGATAATGAATACATAGGTCTGAAGTGGCACCTGAGATGCTGCATTTCTAACAAGCTTCCAGATGATGCTGATGATGCTGGTCAATGAACCACATTTTGAGTAACAAGTTCTAGAATAGGTATAGAAAATGAAATTCCACTAAGTATGTATATACACTCTTTAGTTCTCTGCAGTGAGTCTATTCTTTGATAAATAAACATTGTTTCTGTTGTCAAGGAATTTATAATAGTTTAGATTACTCTGCACAAAATTATTCCTTAAGTGTATAGATTTAAGAAATTATTCTGAAATTAGTAAAAGCCAGCTATCAATTATAAATGAATACTTCTCAAACACATAATTTATCATTGTAAAACTAATCATAAACCAAATTTTTACAATTAAAAAGAAAAATATCCTTTGCTTCCTTCCTCTCCCAGATATATTTCCGGGTTTTCTCATCTCATGGGCACTCAGACGAACTGGAAATGTCTCGGGAAGAAAGTCTAGCTAGGTCTGAATGAATGTAAACAATCTACATGACTCCTTGAAGTGAGCAAAAGCCCTTATATAAGCCCTCCACAACTGAGAGTTTTGTGTTCATGGTTTCACACCACTCATAATCTACCCCAATCCATACAATGGGAAGAGACAGTATAGTAAATAACCACATATTTTAAGCCCCCTTGACTAGTTGGGTATCCTAAAGGATGGTTACCCAGAATACAAAAGGAATAAAAAAAGATACCCCTTGATTTTTTTTTTCTATATGACCTACAGATTGATCCCACTACATAAGTAAGTTTTTCAAAGAAGAAGGAGGAGGAGGAAAGTTAAGGCTTTCAGTCAATCACATCTGTCAGGGAAAAGGAAGACTTATGTACTAGTCAGCTCTTACTAAGGAGAAAGGTGCTTCATGTGCTTCTCTTCTTATTTACCCCTTATATCTCCATCCCATTTTTAATGAATATTCATAAATTTCCTAACCAAAACTCTCTAATTAAGAATATTTTGATTTTTGAACTGTCATTTTTTGTAGATAAAAATATAGCATGAAGAGCATTTGCCAAGATTATCAGTTTAACCTAAAATTATATAAAAATTTAAAAATGCAAAATGTTAACCCAATCATTTATAAAGAAGAGACAGTGGGAAAGTAGAAGATGGAGCACATTAATATTCCACTATAATATTTTTCTGGCTCCTCTGAATGCAAGACTATTATTATTCTTAACAAAAGTTCCTCTGAAATAGTACAAACTACCTGGGAATGGAGAAAAAAGAAAAATTAAAATAAACATAGCTATTTTCGAGAAATAAACTGTAGCATACACACAACTTCATGAAATACCTGAGAGCCAATAGCTGGGAATGTAACTCCTTGTTCCTTAAGGTTCTTAATCATTGCCGATATTAGACTAAGCTGTGGATCATTCTTAAATTCATCTGTCCATTCAACCATAAGAGCCTTTAATTTTTCACACACTTTAGGATGACCCTAACAAACAGAAAAAAAAATTTAATGAAAAAATACCAATTTCATGGCTAAGGATTTAATACAGACACCTTAAATATAAAAAGTATAAGGTATTATAGGCCTCTTTTTGAATCACAAATTACTCCTAGCTATAGACTCATGAAAATAAGAAAATATAGTTGGTTACTAGAAGTAAACTAATGTTATTTTCACACTATAAAAAGAACAATAGAAGACACCACCATATATATCTCACTTCAAAATTAAAACATTAAATATATAATACCTTATTTTGGAGATCAGAAAGACAAGACTTTTCAAATATTTTGCAACCAAGCAAGCTTTGTACAACAAAAAGACAAAACAAGTAGTTTACTTTGTCTTGCTTTTTTTTTTTTTCCTTTTTGTCTTTTTTACTGACCGGTAACGGGATCGCAACCCTCGGTGTCGCGCCCGCACCGCGCTCAGCCAGTGAGCAGGAACCGGTCTCCACATGGGATCCGAACCCTTGGCGGGAGCACCGCCACTCTCCCAAGCGGTGCACTCTCCAGTGCGCCACCGGGTCGGCCCTTTCTTGCTTTTTGAAGACCGAAAAAAAAAAAAAAAAAAAA